TGTAACCACTTGTTGGGCAGGTATTTTCGGAAACTTTCTAACGATATCTATATTGTCCATATCGGCTAAGTGCACCCAGACCGGGTCTTAAACCCGAACTTTTGAGTAAAAAATCTGGGGTCCCAGGTCCGTCCCCCAAGAACAAATAGTTTCCCGGGATCAGGGTAAAAATACCAACCTCTGGAAAGAATTTAAAAAAAATGAAGAGTTTTTACTAAACTTGAGTTAATTCATAATTTTGTTTCCCAAAATCAGCTTTTTTTGTATTTGCCGTCAAATAATATTTGTTGGTCAGATTGTGACAATTAAAAATATTTAACATTTTTCGCAAAATATTTACCCAATGTGACCTCACCTTTAAACATACTGTGTTTTGCATTTTTCCAAAACATAAATAAACGAAGGCGAGCCCGTTTAATTTTGTCGGCGTCAATGTCCCCGAATCATTCCCCATATATATATATATATATATATATATATATATATATATATATATATATATATATATATATATATATATATATATATATATATATATATATATGTCCCCGAATCATTCCCCATATATATATATATGGGGAATGATTCGGGGACATTGACGCCGACAAAATTAAACGGGCTCGCCTTCGTTTATTTATGTTTTGGAAAAATGCAAAACACAGTATGTTTAAAGGTGAGGTCACATTGGGTAAATATTTTGCGAAAAATGTTAAATATTTTTAATTGTCACAATCTGACCAACAAATATTATTTGACGGCAAATACAAAAAAAGCTGATTTTGGGAAACAAAATTATGAATTAACTCAAGTTTAGTAAAAACTCTTCATTTTTTTTAAATTCTTTCCAGAGGTTGGTATTTTTACCCTGATCCCGGGAAACTATTTGTTCTTGGGGACGGACCTGGGACCCCAGATTTTTTACTCAAAAGTTCGGGTTTAAGACCCGGTCTGGGTGCACTTAGCCGATATGGACAATATAGATATCGTTAGAAAGTTTCCGAAAATACCTGCCCAACAAGTGGTTACATGATAGTGCATCTGTATAACCCGATTCTAACCAGTTTATTAAAATTATGTTTTCAATAACAAAAAAATTGTGAACTTCGCGTAGCCGTCGTTTTATTACGAAAACATAAAATTTAGAAAACTTTGGCTCGCGTTAGCCGATGTGGGACATACCCAGAGGAGAAAATCTAAAGCCCCGTTAGCCGGTGTAGGAAATACCCAGAGAAGAAATTTCAACCCCGGCCAAAGGCCGGCTATTAAAAAAATGTTTCCAATTTAGAAAACTTTTGTAATACAAAAAACTGAAGAATTATGTCACCAATTTTTGAAAAGGATTGTCGTAGCCATTCTAAAGATGTCATTATTATTTAGTCCGAATTAGAACAAATGCTGTCCTGCATGCCTATTTTGTATTGCCGCATTAAATATATTGAAATTCAGTTCAAATATAAATAGTTTCATATACATTTTATTCAACCTATTTCTCTGAACATACCTCGATCTTACATTCATATATAACAATTTTTATATAGCACTAAGTGTAGAACTGAGAACAAGGAGATATTTTCCCTCAACTAGGGAAAACTTATCCCACCGTTCAAATAATTGTATTATAGGGTTGCACATGGTCAGTCCTGCCTCACTACTTGATATCTAACCAGTAAGGAAAGGCCAAAAGTCGAACGGAGCCGACTATATGACACCCTACACCACTGCTGTTATGTGCACAAAATTGCATTGGGTTATTTATAGCTTTCATTCGACCATATCTGTCAAATTTCATGCCTTTTGGGCTAATATTGCACATTTGGTGCACAGTGCATCAAAAATCGGATGAAGATATATATTGGAGCCATATCGAAATCACATCCGATTTCCACCAAATTTCATAGAGTTAATTCTTTGTGCACATCGGCTACATGTGCCAAATTTCATCCCATTTGAGCTAATATTTAACAGGTTGTGCACAATAAACCAAAAATCGGATGAAGATATATATGGGAGCTATATCTAAATCAGATTTGATTTTCACCAAATTTCATGGAGTTAATTCTTGGTGTACATCGGCTACATGTGCCAAATTTCATCCCATTTGGGCTAATATTACACAGGTTGTGCACAAAAAACCATAAATCGGATGAAGATATATATGGGAGCTATATCTGAATCTGATCTGATTATCGCCAATTTAGGGTTCATCCTTGGACCAAACAAACATTGCTTGCAAAATTTCATCTCAATCGGATAAAAAATGCGACCTGCATTTTGTTCACAAAGATCGGATGAAAATATATATGGGAGCTATATCTAAATCTGATCCGAATATCAGCAATTTCAATAGGGTTCATCCTTGGGCCAAACAAACATTGCTTGCAAAATTTCATCTTAATCGGATAATAAATGCGACCTGCATTTTGTTCACAAGAATACATGGAAAAGTCGGGCGGGGCCGACTATATGATACCCTACACCACTATGCATATTTAGTAGAGCTCTCGTAAAAAGGTTTATACAGGATATTTCAGAGCTCTATGAGATATTTGGTACAAAATCAAAATCTATCTAATTCTATCGTGCATTTTACGAACTATAGCTATCTCTGAGCCGGGTTTCTCCAAATTTGACGTATTAACTTCTAGACTGAATTCGGTCTTATGTACGAAAATTCTGGTGATTTGGGCTGATATTGGCCATTTGATGAACAATTAACACGAAATCGGATGAAGATATATATGGGAGGCATATCCAAATCGGAACAGATTTTAATAAAATCAACTATTTTTGGTCTTTATCTGATATCTGGTACCAAATATCATTCCTGTGGAGTGCATATTACGAATGTGAGGGACTTAAAGACCAAATCGGATGAAAGATATATATGGGAGCTATAGCTATATCTAAACCGATTTTTACTAAAATTGGTGTACTTGCTTCTAAGCTGGTTTCGGTCGGATTTACCAAAATTGATGCTATTACGGCCATTTGGTGGTCAATCACCCGAAATCGGATGAAGATATATATGGGAGCTATATCCAAATCTGAACTGATTTCGATAAAATTTAAAACAGCTATTCCTGTGCTCCATCTAATACCTGGTGCCAAATATCACGGTTGTGGAGTGAATATTACGAATGTAAGGGACTAAAACACTAAATCGGATGAAACATATATATGGTTCCTATATCTATATCTGAACCGATTTTCACTTAATTTGATATACTTGCTTCTAGGCTGAATTTGGTCCGATGTACTAAAATTCAGTCCATTTGGACTTATATCGGCCATTTGGTGCACAATTAACCCGAAATCGGATGAAGATATATATGGGAGCTATATCCAAATCTGAACCGATTTCGATAAAATTACAAACAGCTATTTCTGGGCTGTATCTTATATCTGGTACCAAATATCATTCTTGTGGAGTGCATATTACGAATGTGAGAGGCTTAAACACCAAATCGGATAAAACATATATATGGGAGCTATAGCTGTTTCTGAACCGATTTTCTCCAAATTTGTTGTATTTGCTTTAAGGCTAATCTCGGTCACATGTTCCAAAATTCGGGCCATTTGGGCTTATTTTGGCCATTTGGTGGTCAATTAACCCGAAATCGGATGAAGATATATATGGGAGCTATATCCAAATCTGAACCGATTTCGATAAAATTTAAAACAGCTATTTCTGTGCTCCATCTAATACCTGGTACCAAATATCACGGTTGTGGAGTGCATAGTAGGAATGTGAGGGACTTAAAGATCAAATCGGATGAAAGATATATATGGGAGCTATAGCTATATCTGAACCGATTTTCTCCAAATTTGATATACTTGCTTCTAGCCCGAACTAGGTTGGGTGTGCCAAAATTCAGGTAATTTGGACTGATAGTGGACATTTGGTGCACATTTAAACCGAAATCGGATGAAGATATATATGGGAGCTATATCTAAATATGATCCGATTCTCACCAATTTCAATAGGGTTCGTCCTTGGGCCAAAAAAATATTGCTTAGAAAATTTCATCTCAATCGGATAATAAATGCGACCTGCATTTTGTTCACAAGAATACATGGACGGACGGACAGACGGACGAACGGACTGACATGCATAAATCGACTCAGAAAGTGATTCTATGAAGATTCTCAAAAGTAACTATGGGTCTATCTCGTTTCCTTCTCCATGTTACAAACAAATGCACAAAGACATAATACCCTTACCACTATGTGGTGTAGGGTATAAAAACTGGTGCCGTTGTATGGGGGCTAGATGATATCGTGGACCTATACAGACAATTCTCTTTCCGGGGTTAATGTGCCCACAGAGAACCTTTTGCATAAAATTTAGACAATTTCATTGGAAAAACGTAGCTAAATCAGTAAAATACAGAATATCTAGGAGTACCGTTGTATGGGGGCTATAGGCCATCGTGGACCACAAATAACCTTTTGTGTAGAATTTCAGACAGTTCCATTAAAAATGTAGATAAAATTATTAAAATAAGTAGACATCATGGACCTATATAGACAAATCTCTTCTATATGAGTACTTTACCCCTGAAAGTACTCACAAAGAACTCTTTGTGTAGAATTTCAAACAATTAAATTGAATAATGTGGATAAAAACATCAATAAAAATCCCGAATATCGGAGGTACCGTTATATAGGAGCTGTACGATATAGTCGGCCGATATAGCCCATAATCGAACTTAAAATTTTACGCTGATCAAGAATATATATTTTGTTGGATCTAAAGTTATTATTTCGATGAGGTACACACGGAATTACGAACTAAATATAACCTACTTACTTTTTATGGTGTTTGGTATAATAAGAAATGAAAAGTTTTTATACAGTACGAAAATACAAAAAAGTTTTATTTGTATTGCTTTTTATATACGCATATACATACATGTTGGAAAATACTTTTACTAAACTTGTACAAAAAAAAAATACTAAAAAAATACTTTTTATTCATTTATATATTTTGAATACTGATACTGATAGAATACATTTTTTTAAATATGGTTTTATATGTGTCTTACATATATTATTTAGTTTTTGAAGATATAAACTTTCTTAAATGTGTACAAACACAGTTTACAAAATATTTGTTTGTCGCAATCGCGTTAATATAATAAAAATGTGCACTCAAATTTATCGTATATGTATTGACCAAGAATTGTTAAAATTTTGTTAAATGTATTAACTGTTTATATCAATGTGTAAGAAAATGGAAAAAGGAAAATAGCAGCGTTATATAATATATTCTTGTAGTCCGAAGGAGTTGAAAATTGTAATTTTGTTTAGCTAGGTTTTGTAAACACTTTTTTGCAGTGAATGTAGTTCATGTAATTTCCAAGGATTGAATGATTAAAGTTGAGTATATATAATCTGTAAATAGAAGGTAATTAGATTAATGTATAGAAAGAATATATTTTAATCAAATATATGTTGTTTTGTTCTATAAGTAATTTTGATTTATCATTATGTTTAAGTGACTGTATATGTTTGAATATAAACCATTTTAAATTCATGCAGAAAGAGCTTTCGCTTTTTTAATGCAGAATAAACGTGTGAGGGAGGTGCCGGATAATCAAAAAGAAAAAATATGTTTTCAAAAACACATAGTGTTTTAAAAATTAGGCATGTCTTTTATTGTAATTACCTAGGCAATATTTAGCAATAAGTATAATTAACACCGCCATATTAGTGTCAAGTTTTATGCAGTGTTTGAAAACCAATTCTATGGTATCGTACCTTAGCGTTCCGTGACTGGGAAGAAAAGTTATGCTACAACTAGGTAAAGTACAAACAATAAAAAGTATTTATCGTTAATGTATATTTTGTACATTCGTTTGCAGATTGGACATTTTAAGCGAGTATATAACAAACATCGTAGTGTATACCATTAGTAGTGTGTACTTTAAGAAACAATTATTGGTAGTGCACACCTTAGTGTTGCTTATAAAGAATACGTGTTATGGCAATAACTGCAAATACAAACATATTTTTAACCAGTCAATTTGAAACATATGGAAGCAATGCCAATGATGTACACTACGTTGTTGTATGTATAGGTTTCTGTAAAGAATAGTTTTGGTTAAACGATAAAATTATAGACTTTAATAATATTTTTGTATAACTGGTGTGGTTTATATATATATATATATATATATATATATATATATATATATATATATATATATATATATATATATATATATATATATATATATATATATATGTATATATATATATATATTTCCTTAAAAATAAATTTTATACAATCTGGGAGATATTCCGAAGGATGATTAGAATAAAAAGCTTGGCTCAAATTTGAAGAATGTGACTTATCAAACATTATTCACAAAAATCATCAAATCAATTCAAATTTTCAATCAGCAAAGGATATTATGGAAAGTTATCCTTTGAGTAAAAATGCAATTTAGCGATAATACACAAATTGAAAACTATATAAAGTTATGTGGATACTTACATAATTTACCATTTAGTTCTACTAAACATTTTCTTTCGAGCAAACTCCACATGTGTTTGTTTTCTAAAGATTATTCCAATAAAAATAATATGTGCTGAAACTGAACCGCAAAAATTATAATGAAATTAGTAAATATAAAATTAGTTTAAGGAATACACAAGCAATTTTATTTACCTCACTGTATTAGAAACTTTATTTACGGTTTAGAAGAGTGAAAAATTCTTCTTTGGTTGTCTATCCAGGCTTTAACCTCAGCCGGTTTTCTATTTCGGAGACTTCCGTAAATATTTATGACATTTTTGCATTCATTCAATGAAGGTATATATTTATTTAATACGTATATATCGTATATATTTATTTAATACATTTCTTTAGATGACAGGGATCATCTGTGTAACATAAAGGAAAAAAATCTTCGAGCTTTACACGAACAAAAAAACATAAAAGAGAGCAATGTGTGGAAGAATCTAACGAAAATGTATCCTGCAATGCATTAAATATAAGCTGTATTGATAATTGGGAGTGTTGTAAAAATTCAACATCTGTCGAAACTTTCTTTGAAAATGCTGACATAAGTAGTATCAAGAAAACCTCTATTACCCTGACAAACATTGATTTTTCTGTGTCGGAATACCTACCTAGCTCGGCAATAGAAAACACAAGCACAAACATTAGCTCTTTTTTGGAGATTTCAAATACTTTAAATTTGGATGGAGTTACCGTTCCTGTTTCAAAGCAAAGATCGAAGCGTCATTTTTGTCTATTTTGTAAGACACTGCAATGCAAAATGCAAGACATTTCTTTCTGAAACACAAAAGCGAAAAACTCGTAAAACTAGCCATGGCACTACCGAAACGTAATAAAGAGCGTTCGCAAATAATTGAGAAGCTACTAAAAGAAGGGGATTTCCTCCACAATACATCGCAAGAGCAAAACACAGGTACTTTGATTGTACTTAGACAGCAAGGACAAAAAGCTAAACATACACCCAATGACTACGTATGCTGTCCGTCGTGCAAAGGTTTTTTTACCGCAAGGGCACATATACGATATTGTACTAAGAAAAAAAATGGCAGATCGAATTTTATAGAGGGACGAAAATTAACTCAATACGTACATCCTATTGCAAACACAGCAATGAAGAGCACCATTTTTCCAGTTTTGCGAAACGACGAAATAACCCGCGCGATTCGTTACGACGAGTTAGTAATTAGATATGGAAACAGATTGTCCGAAAAATTGTCGCAAACTCACCATAATGATCACCTACGACTACTGGTGCGGTTTAAAATAGAATTAGTAAAATTAGCACCGGAAATCTTAGAACTTAAAGACATGTTCAAACCCTTTTTGTTCGACAAGGCAATAGAAGCATTACGATTGACAGCAAAATATGAATTCGGCAAAGGGTCGCCGGCTGTAGCTACCAATTTGACAAGTATAATAAAAAAAAAATGTGCACGATTACAAAGGAATGAGTTTATCAAGCAACATAATGATGATATGAAGTCTCTTCTTGACAACTTTGTGTCCCTTTGGACTGAGGAAACCCCCACTCAGATTAATAAAAAAGCGATCGAGGACCAAGATAATCAAAAAAGAAACAAAAGAAATGGTTTGCCAAACAAACAGATATAAAAAAGTTATACGACTTTCTGAGATCAAAAATGCTGGACTCAATTGCAGTATTAAAGGAAAAATTTGATTTAAACGCTTGGAAGAATCTCGTTGAGACAACCTTAATATGTATCCAGGTGTTTAACAGGAGAAGAGCAGGAGAAATAGAACGAATAACTATTGGCAATTTTACCAATAAAGAAGAAATTACAGATTGTTTGGAGGCAGGTCTTCTTGACAATATGTCAGAGGAGTCAATTCAATTTGCCAAACAATTTGTAAGAATATCATTGAGGGGCAAATTAGCAAGAACAGTCAGCGTATTATTGGATCCGATGTTTATAAAGGCTGTGCAACTTATTTTAAAATTTCGCAAAAATGCTGGGATAAAAAATTCGAACCCATATATATTTAGCGCTCCAGCAACATCAAAGTTGTCAAAAATGTACTACAGGGCGTGCCCATTGTTAAGAAAATACGCAAACGAGTGTGGAACTTCCATGCCTGACAATCTAAGAGGCACAAAATTGAGGAAACATATTGCCACATACACGTCCTTATTAAATGTCCAAGAAGCTACTGTTGACAGATTAGCCAACTTCCTAGGCCATCATAAAGACATACATAAAAACATATATCAAATGCCTGTTCCAATGGCCGAAATAACGACAGTCTCTAAAATTTTATTATCTGCTGCTGGTTGCAATACAATCAAGGACATTGATGTTCAAACTTTGACCCTAAATAAAATAAATGAGGAGGATATTGAAATTAATAATACCATAGAAGACGAAGGGTTACTTAATGAATCGTCAACATCAGAAATATCATCTACGTCATCAATCATTGAAGTTTCAAAAAATACTAATTCTTCTAAGTTAAAAAAACGTAGCAATAAGCTTAGCAAAAAAGTATATAAAAAACATTGAAATACTTTTCTTTAGTCTTCCCTTACCTAAATATCCCTTCTGTTTCCTTAAAACCGAATAAATTTGTGCGAGTTACTACAAGAGCCGTCTAATTTGACCATACTTTAGATTGACTACATTAAAATATATATGGGCACGATACCTATAATGGTATATCGAAATTGGACAAAGATTGTGTTTTTGGTGCATCGAAAGTATGCATGAGAGCTTTTAAAAATTCATATGGGGCTGTAGCTAACTCTGAACCGATTTCATTACCCAATTCCGTGACAATTTACTAATTTCTATGAAATTGAACATACATTTAGCGTTTTGTGCATCAACTACATCAAATTGTCTGAAAAAATATAAAAGCGCTTTATCCAAATCTCCACCAATGTTCAACAAAAACAACATGTTTAACTGAATTGGGCGATGAATGCGTTCTACAGGCTGAGCACTGATGGTCGGAAAGTATAAATCGACTCAAATTTATATATATATATATATATATATATCTATATATATATATATATATATATATATATATATATATATATATATATATATATATATATATATATATATATATATATATATATATATATATATATATATATATATATGTATATATATATATATATATATTTCCTTAAAAATAAATTTTATACATCTGGGAGATATTCCGAAGGATGATTAGAATAAAAAGCTTGGCTCAAATTTGAAGAATGTGACTTTATCAAACATTATTCACAAAAATCATCAATCAATTCAAATTTTCAAATCACCAAAGGATATTATGGAAAGTTATCCTTTGAGTAAAATGCAATTTAGCGATAATACACAAATTGAAAACTATATAATTTATGTGGATACTTACATAATTACCATTTAGTTCTACTAAACATTTTCTTTCGAGCAAACTCCACATGTGTTTGTTTTCTAAAGATTATTCCAATAAAAATAATATGTGCTGAAACTGAACCGCAAAAATTATAATGAAATTAGTAAATATAAAATTAGTTTAAGGAATACACAAGCAATTTTATTTACCTCACTGTATTAAAAACTTTATTTACGGTTTAGAAGAGTGAAAAATTCTTCTTTGGTTGTCTATCCAGGCTTTAACCTCAGCCGGTTTTCTATTTCGGAGACTTCCGTAAATATTTATGACATTTTTGCATTCATTCAATGAAGGCAACTTTTCTAAGCTTGAAATATATCCAAAAGCCGATGTTATTGCTTGTCTTTCGTCTTCAGACCATCTAGTGCGTTTTGTTTTTCCGAACGGAAAAGCTACGGGATATCAAAAAGTAGTAAGTTCATATCCCCTTAAAATGTTAGATGAACGAATTTGAGCGAGTTACTATTAACCTCATTATACCCTGTATCAGGCAGTGGTAGGGACACTATCGAATTATGCATTAGCTTGTAGCATTCAAAAGGAATCGAGATGGACCCATGTTGCCTTAGGTGATAGAATAGGCCAAAAATTTGAGTCGATTTATACTTTCCGACCATCAGTGCTCAGCCTATAGAACGCATTCATCGCCCAATTCATTTAAACATGTTGTTTTTGTTGAACATTGGTGGAGATTTGGATAAAGCGCTTTTATATTTTTTCAGACAATTTGATGTAGTTGATGCACAAAACGCTAAATGTATGTTCAATTTCATAGAAATTAGTAAATTGTCACGGAATTGGGTAATGAAATCGGTTCAGAGTTAGATACAGCCCCATATGAATTTTTAAAAGCTCTCATGCATACTTTCGATGCACCAAAAACACAATCTTTGTCCAATTTCGATATACCATTATAGGTATCGTGCCCATATATATTTAATGTAGTCAATCTAAAGTATGGTCAAATTAGACGGCTCTTGTAGTAACTCGCACAAATTTATTCGGTTTTAAGGAAACAGAAGGGATATTTAGGTAAGGGAAGACTAAAGAAAAGTATTTCAATCTTTTTATATACTTTTTTGCTAAACTTATTGCTACGTTTTTTTAACTTAGAAGAATTAGTATTTTTGAAACTTCAATGGTGATGACGTAGATGATATTTCTGATGTTGACGATTCATTAAGTAACCCTTCGTCTTCTATGATATTATTAATTTCAATATCCTCCTCATTTATTTTATTTAGGGTCAAAGTTTGAACATCAATGTCCTTGATTGTATTGCAACCAGCAGCAGATAATAAAATTTAGAGACTGTCGTTATTTCGGCCATTGGAACAGGCATTTGATATATGTTTTTATGTATGTCTTTATGATGGCCTAGGAAGTTGGCTAATCTGTCAACAGTAGCTTCTTGGACATTTAATAAGGACGTGTATGTGGCAATATGTTTCCTCAATTTTGTGCCTCTTAGATTTGTCAGGCATGGAAGTTCCACACTCGTTTGCGTATTTTCTTAACAATGGGTACGCCCTGTAGTACATTTTGACAACTTTGATGTAGCTGGAGCGCTAAATATATATGGGTTCGAATTTTTTATCCCAGCATTTTTGCGAAATTTTAAAATAAGTTGCACAGCCTTATAAACATCGGATCCAATAATACGCTGACTGTTCTTGCTAATTTGCCCCTCAATGATATTCTTACAAATTGTTTGGCAAATTGAATTGACTCCTCTGACATATTGTCAAGAAGACCTGCCTCCAAACAATTTGTAATTTCTTCTTTATTGGTAAAATTGCCAATAGTATTCGTTCTATTTCTCCTGCTCTTCTCCTGTTAAACACCTGGATACATATAAGGTTGTCTCAACGAG